GAGGTGGCCGGTGGTTTCGAAGGGCATTCAACCTCGCGCTAGGATGTTATCTCTGGAAATGATGTAAAGCCGGAGCTAGCTGCTGACTAGAGATGTGCAGCTCTTATGGGATGCTATGTCACGAAGTAACCTCGATGGAGTGTTTGAGCAACCAGTTCAACTTCACCGAGTCTCCCCCCTCCCTGCGGCCGACATCCTCGCCGCCCGCTCTGGCCCAATGCCTAGCCGACCTGCTCTGTATTTTCTTCAGCTGGTGCGCTGCACCGTGTTCTTGCCCATTAGACTGTCAGCAGATATATGCAAATGAAAGGAACTACCTGTGCCGCCTATGCCCATTTGGAGGCCTCGCGACTAGATCTCGGCCAGCTGCTCGGTGCCAAAAGACAGTAAGATGTACACTTAATTCTTTATACTAGGTAAGCGGAAAGTAAAAAGCTGGGTAAGCCGGACCTTCGCCTACTTAAGCGTCCTAAGAGCCGCAATCTTTTAGCAAGTTAAGCTCTTTAGCTTAGTATAATAAACCAAATTTATTTAAATCTCTAACGTCTATTCCTCTATATTAAAAGACCCTCTATATTAAAAAAAATAATAATAGCTTTAGTTGTTAGGAAACTTAATATTTATAATATTATATAAACCTAATACTAGCGCTATAAATGTATTTACACTTTAAACTACTAAAAAAAATATTATAGCTATTATTTTAATAATAAAAATTTAGCTAACTAAAAGTTGGCAGCTATTTTAAAAAATATAAATTTTAAAAATTATTTTATTAATATTAATATTTCTATTTAGTAATATTATATTAATAAAAAAGTAATAATAATTTTTATATAATATTATAATAATAAGCTTAATACTTTATTTATATTTATATAGCTTATTTATAATATTAGGCTTTTACCTTAAAATATTTTTATATAATATTTAAATTAAAATATTTTAAATATAAGGGCTTATTTAATAAAAATAAAAATTTAAATTAAGGTTAAAAATTATAATTTTAAAAAATTATAAAGCCCTTATTAAACTTTTAATATTTATTAAAAAATCTTGCCTAATAGCCTTTAAACTTAAATATTAAGGTAATTTTATTTTTATTAACCTATATATTAAATTAATATAATTATATTAAAAAAATAAGTAAAATATAAAAGTTTTAATTTTAAAATTAAAAAGTAAATAAAAGCAAAATAATAATATAAATATTTAAATTAAAGTTATATTAGGATTAATAGCTAATTTTAATTTATAGCCTAGCAAATATAATTAATAAAAGTAAATAAAAAGGGCCTTATTATATATTTTTAATAATATAATATTAATTAGTTTAAATAAAATTAAACTAGTATATTTAGTTATTATTATTTTTAATATAAATTTATATTATTTTATTTATTAATAATTTTATATTATATTTATAGCTAATATTATTATTTAATATTATTATTATTTCTTTTATTTATAATTTTCTTTTAAAAGCTTTAATATTTTTAATAAAATTTAATAGTTTATTTATATATATAATTAATTTTATACTTTTTTAAAATGTTATTTTTATTACTTTAACTTTTATTAAATAGTATTTTAAAGTTTAGCTTCCTTATATTATTATATTATTACGCTTTATTTTATAAGTATTTATTTTTTATTTAGTTAGCTATTTTTTATATTTATTATATTTTTTAATTAAAAGCTATAATAATTTCTATTAATTATTATATAGGCAATTTTAAAAACTAATTATAAAAAGTTTACTAAATTAAACCTATAATTTACTATTAATATAATATAAAGTATATAAAATTGCTATAAAAGGCAATAAAATCCTTATATATTAGCCCTTTTAAAAACTATAATATTTTAGTATATTATAAAGAAAATTAATTTTATTTTATTTATTTTTAAATTTATAATATATATTATATTTTATTAATTACTAAAATATATTATATTATTACTAGCTAAATAAAATAAATTTATTAATTAGTATTAAATTAAAAACTATTAAAATTTTATTAAAAATATATTTAAGTAAAGTAAAAGGCTAATTATAGTATATTTATTATTAATTAATTAGTTATTACTAACTTTATATTATATTTTAAAATGCCTTTTAAAGTAATTTATTAATTTAAATAAGCCTAAAAATAATTTTTAAAATAAAAGGCTAAGCTATTTTATTTTAATAAAGGTTTTTAAAATTTTTATAAATAATTAAGAAAAATATAGTCCTATATTTAAATTGGTTAGGCGTATAATTACTATAAAGTATATTATTTTTATTATTTTTATTTTTATTTTATTATAATTATATATAAGGCTATATTTAAAACTTAAAATAATAAAATATTAGGTATTTTAAATTTAACTTTTATAATTATAATATAAAATTATAATTTTATAATAATTATAAATGCTATGTTATTTATAATTAAAATAAAATTTATAAAAAATAATTATATTAAAGCTAACTATTATATTTATTATAGTTTAAGCTAACTTTTTTATTAGTTATATAAATTTAAATTTATAAAATTTATTATAATATATACCTAAAAATGCTTTTTTATAGTTAGTAAAAATTAAAATATTATATTATTAATTATATTACTAGGTATATAAAATGCTATAATTACCTATAAAAGCTTAAATATAAAAAAATAATAATAATTTGGCTATATAATATAAAAAGCTATTTAATAATAAAAAATTTAAAATTTATTTATAAAAGTAAACTTTATTTTATAAATTAAATATGTTATTAAATTTTAAAAATAATTTTAATAAAACTAATAAATATAATTTTATTTTTATTAGTTAAAAATAAAAATTAATAAGCTAAAAATTATTAAATAATAATTATACTAAATAATAAGTATTTTTTAAAATTATAAATTTAGCTTATATTAATAGTATACCTTTTATAATATTAATAGTATTTAATAATTTATATTATATATAATAATAAATATAATATTTTTAACTTTTAAATATAAACTATTAATTATTAGGTATTTTTAAAATATATTATAATATAGCAAATTTTACTATTTTTAATTAAAATATTAAAAGTTAGCCTATTAATTATATAATTTATATTATATTAATAATATAACCTTAATATAATAATTAAATAAAAAAATTTAGCTTAAATATATATATTATATTTTTAATTTAATTAAAATATTATATTAAATTTAATAATAAATAAAATAAAAATTTAAAATTTATTATATATTAAATATATAAAAGTTTTTATTATAACTATTTAATAATTATATTTATTATTATTTATTTATAAATAGAATATATTAGTTTTATATAATTGGCCTTTATATTTTATTTAACTTTAAGTTTTATATAATTTTTTATATTATAAAATTAGTAAATAACTATTTTTATATTATATTAATAAAAATATTAATAATAGTTGCTTAAATAAATAATATAATTTATATTTTATTTAAAAATTTATTATAAATAATTATAATAGTTTATAATTAAGTAGTTGCTTATAATTTTTATAATAAATAGTAGTAATTTAGCTATATTATTAATATTAGTAGTAATAAAAACTTATTTTATAAAATAAATAAATAGCTATATAAGGCTAGCTAATAGAATATTTATAATAAAGGAAGTTTTTAATTAAGCGAAAAATATTTTATAATATTAATATATTTTGGCAATTAATTATATAATTAGTAAATAATAAAAATAAGAAATAAATAAATATATTTTTAAGCTAATAAAGGTTCTAAGCCTTACCTTATTTTTAGAAATTAAAGACTATTAATATACATACTTGCACGTATATGTGCGCATATTTGGCAAAAAGCAATTTATATATTTGGTTTAAATTTCTCCAATGCCAACTTATATATACTCCCCGTTTCCTTCATTTCTTGGCTTTACGACTAGTATGCAATACTTTTAGTTAGGAAACTTGTCCCCTGTCCTCCCTAGAACTACAGCTCCTATCTCCCTAAGATCATCCTCATAATTGACGTTATATAAAGTCCAGCTAATACCATCCTTATCATTAATGGCAAACATAATTCACCTAGAATTTGCGACGTAAGATGATATTACAAAGTTTTGTTAATAGTCTTCTAAGAACCTCTGTCCTGCTATCTGGGTCATTCTTTCCAGGCCTGCTTGGCGCATTTGCTATTATCATTAGGCATTTGTACACAAAACCATGGTTGAGCCCAAATATTTGCCTATCCAAACACCGTGCTGAGTGACCCCCATGGCATGAATTAAGGGTTCTTATGCGGTGAGCATTCGCTTTAGCCGTTTGCGTGCCAATCGCGTCTCAGCAGACCTAGATTCTTGCCCTAATCAGTCGTGCATACATCCATCTGGGAATGCAGGTCCTTGGTCGAACAGTGTATGGTCAGGTTCATATTGTCGTATATATGTGACGTGTAAGGTGAAGGATTAGTTCAATTCCTCAAAATTTTAAAGATCCGTTGAGTTTGCAGATTGATGGTGGTCTCGTGATGCAACTATACCCTGTATGCCAAGTCCCGAATTCCGGGTATTGTATGTGGGCATATTGAATGCGACCTGGAGCTGGGGTCTCAATGGCTTCGGCTCACGCGGCCCAAGCGGCTCACGATTACTGAGCGGGGTAGGAAGTGTGGCGATGTGCACGCGCACGAGCCACCGGCAGTAGCTCCATATTATCCATGGCAGTTGGAAAGCGGACGTGGTAGCACAGTCATCATCTCAGCACCCTTATCAATGACTCATTTGTTACAAAATGTTTAAAGAGTGACCAATATCTTCATGGAAATGAGGCAAACATGGTCAGTATGGGTAGGGTGACCGTCGCTGAGCATTGAAGAGTCTTGGTCTCCACGGCGTCCTGATTGGGTGCTGGATCGGCACAATCCAACGCTCCATGAGCGGCTATTTCCCACGTCTGATAGGACCCGCACGGCCCTAAGCATTCCACCAGAAAGTACTTAGCCCAGCCTGTGCGTCAAATTTCACCCAAATCTGTTCTTAACTCACTCATACCGCTCAAGTCATTGACGTAATGGCTGAAACTGTAGGTCTTGCCTCGGGACTCCTGGCTTTGGCATCATTTGCCTTCGAATCCAGTGTTTCACTTTTCAACACCATACAGAGTTACAGGAACCACCCTAAACGCGTGCGTGATCTTGCCCAAGAGGCGAAGGCTTTGAGCGAGGTTCTGTCTTTGCTTGCCGACACCATCAATGCTACTGCTGAACTAGATCTTTCCGCCCTCGAGCTTCCTCTGCGTCGATGCGGCGAGGCATGCAAGGAGTTTGAACATGAGCTAATGAAATGCTCATCGCGGTCTGGTGACGACCGTACTAGCTTCCGCGACTGGGCGAAGTTGCAGTACATGGGTGATGGCATTGACGAGTTCACCCAACTTCTCGCCGGGTATAAGTCTACTATCAACATTGCCCTTACCGATGCGAATCTGTGAGCCTCTTTCTGCTGCCAACGCATGCGAACAACAGCTAAATTAGTATTTTGCAGGCGTCAATCCGCTATTACCGCCGAGAGTATTGAAAACTATCAAGCGATGATCAAGACAGCTACTGATGACCTCGAAGCTCGTTTAGAGAGCATTGACGGGAAGCTTGCGACCATTTTCGAGCGCACGGTAACGGAGACCGACTCGGATGCGAAGGAGTTACAGCGAATCAAGGAAGAGCGGTCGAGCACACAAAAATGTCTCGAGATCTGCGCGCAATTGGCAGATCATATCCAACGGATCCAGCTTCAGTCTACCCCAGGCCCGAATCTCTGCAGCTCCTCCGATGCAGATTACGCGAACCAAGTCACCAATGAGGGCCTACAAGTATGCAAGGAACGTCTCTCCCAGACGATTAACAGATTGGAAAAGCATATGCAAGAGCTGATAAACCGGCTGATTGAGAAGTCGGCCGCAAAGATGAACTCCAAGGTCGAGGCTACCGAGCTTACTAGGCTCCAGGAAGAGTGGACCACAGCTCGTCAATGTCTCGACATCTGCTCGAGTGCAGAGAGTCATGTCAAGCAAAACATAAGCATCATCGATAACTATGCAAGGGGCGACGACACAGTTCAATTCTTGGTTTCAACCAACGGAAAGACGATTCACGGCAAGAACAGAGGTTTTGGAATTATGACGAGACAGGTTGGAGGCCACCTCAGCGACGCGTCACTCCAGCAGATGTCACGGGACGTGAGAATCAGCTTGCGGGCATCCAAACCGGAATCCTCAGCTTCGCAAGATGACGCAGATGCGGAAGACGAACAAGACGTAGAGTTCAAGGGACGCTACGGACGAGGGCTGAAGTTGTCAGACAACTCCCCAGATATGGAGCCCCCTTGCCAACCAACAGCGAATCAAGGACGGCCTCACTTCGCGAAGCACACAAGTCAGTAACTCAAAAAAAATTTTTGGGACGATGAAGAGATTCAGCAGTGGGGTCCCTGCTTGCATTACTTGCCTCTGCAACGATAGTGCTTGTAAACGCGGGTCCAGAGACCTGCATTAGCGGTTCTCTGAAGCTTTTGCGCCTCGGTAGCGCTCTGCCCTTCTTCTTTCCCTTAGCCGAGGATGAGTCGCCCATGGCTTCCTTAAAAACAAATTATACGCCGAATTTGTCCTCTTTTTACTGAACAGGGCCCCGAGGCCTTCCATGTGGCTATCCAGCATATTCCAGTTGATATCCAACTCCTTGTAAAGCTTATTCAGACCATGCTGATGGCTTTGCTTGATAAAAATATTTTTTTTCTTTATGAGTATACTTATCCCCAGGCTATCTATCCTTATTTTTTTTAATGAAGTTATAAGTTGTAGCTTAAAGGTGATTTTCTAAAAGTTGCTTAAAGCTAGAACGAGATCGGGATCCGTATCTAGACAAATTTACTTTCTTTGGATGTTCTACTATTTAAATACCTTCTACCTAAAATCATAATAAATACACTTAGGGCTATCTTTATTATATAGTTTAATAAGAGTGTGTATTATTTGCGGCAGGTGATAGCAAGGTCGAATTAAGCCAGATCCAGGCACAAAGCATCGAAACAGCGTGCCAAAATGACAGCAAAGGCGCGGTGGGCGTCAGCAGAGGTCAAAAATCGAGCTTTGGGCATCTGGCAAGAGTAGTGGAGCCTACATCAGTCCCTGCCGGCCCATCCAAGGAAGCCAATGAACGCAGAAAATCGGATTCCGAGTCCCAACACTCGCCCTCAAATTTGTCATGCAGAACAGAAAGGATGGCAGGGAGGGATAGTCAACAGGTCGAGCGCGATGTACAGGACTCGCCGCCTTATGCAGAACGCAAAAAGGGAGCGCAATCCGCCCAGTCTACCTCATCACCAAAGAACTCGAACCACTTCAGATGCGTCAAACACGATGACAGTATCATGGAAAGTATGGATGTTGCCGACATTATCAAAAATCCCATTAAGCCCATTAAGTCCACTGACTCTAAATAATCTCGCAAGTCTTCAAAATACTGTAAGGACGGTGGTAATGCACTAGAAGAATACTATCATTTGCAACAAGGTCAGAAATTTTCTCAGATCATACGCCCCGACCATGCGAAAACCTTCTTTACAAGGTCTCTTGCGGTTCAAATTGAATACTCAACGGGATCGCGTCTGCAATCACCAGCGGGGACGCCACCACGGAAGCTTCCATTCGCCATAGACCGGCTGGGACTAGATGAGATTGTGGGAGTGGAGGATGAGGAAAGCATATCCATCGGCAAAGCAAACGGATTGATTGCTGAGGTCCCTCTGATCCTACCTGGTATGGGAAGTCTTTATATTGCTGCGAGCGGAGTTGTGTTTAAAATTACATTCCAATAAGTAAAATGACAACCATTATTCCGGAGGTATCTGTGTACCATCCGTTTGACTTTGTGCAGGAACCGTTTTCTTCTGTGCGAATATCCCTATTTTAAATAAAATATATAAAATTGAGTTCAATTAGTTTTAAAAAAATATTAAAAATATTCACTCTTTTAATTTATATAAAAGGATATTATTCTATTTATAATTTCCTGTTGTAGTACTTTAATATATAATTAAATAAGGATGTTTAATAATAAAAAAGCTAAAATGTTAAGGATTTAAGAAATCATAAAATATTTATGAAATAGAAAATATATAAGATATACTGAATAAATCCTAAATTTTAATACATTAAATGTTGTATTATTAATTAAATTTTATATTAATAAAACCTTTTATTTTTATTCTTTATAACAAAAGTTTATACGGAAAAAGTTTATATTTATTATTTTATTAATAAAATGGTCATTTTAATAATAAGTTTTTAAATACTTAATTACGTATATTATAAATATGATCCACTCTTATGGGCCTCCTGTCTCCGCTGGTTGCTTCCTGGCATGCAGTGCTGCTTTGAAAATGGATTTCTTGCCTCTACTTTCTGATTGTCGGCGCCTTTATCCAAGAGGCTTTGACGTTATCTAGCACAAATGTTGAACGTGGATGCCATTGATCCTGCTAACGTCTATGCTGCTTAAAGCAAGTATTTTCCGATACCAGAAGCCATCTTCGACCCGGACTTACTACTATGTCCCCACATCTTCCTCCCAGCGATTATGTTTCAACACCGGGTTTGCAAGTCAGATATCCTGAATGACAACCCACGACTTCTCTATACATCGAGGATAGAGCATGCAGAGAATCTGATTAAAGTAGGCCTACGTTCTGAAATCATGGATATACATGTTTTCCGAAAAACAGAGAAGACGATGACAGCCTCCAAATGGGCACAAGACCTATACCCCGGTCGAAGATGTCCAAGATGATCGGGGCTGTTGGCAGACTTGCCGGATTTCAAGGCAAACTATCTGCTATACTATATGGCAGGCAATAATCTTGATCAGAGTGGTACGTATCTCAGGCTGCGGGGGACTGCTTGATGGATCTCACACATATCCCTTCCAACTTTACATATCTTCTTCGCACCGTATGTCCTAACTTTCTGGCAGTTAACTGCAGCACTGCGCTCCGTGACTCGGCCATGGACCACTCCCACGGGAGTGCAACCTTCTTCACGAATTATCTGAATCGCTGTTTCCGCGTGGACCTCATGGCCATCCATCGGGGAACTTGTCCCCAGGAAGCTCTGATAAACCAGATTACCAGCCACGGCCACTCTATGAGGAAGCGGCGGCCGGTTGAGCTGACGCAAGCACAAAGCGAGGAACTCAAACAGGACGCAAAATACCAACGGATAACTAAAGTGCTCGAGGGGTTTCCCAAGGCCTCTCCAGGATACAAGGAGGTTTAAGCCAAGAGGAGGGCCTACTTGGAAAGATTTCGAAAGGCGAAGCTCGATCATATCCGTAAGGATTGGAGCGTCAATCAGGGCGTGGAAGACATGGAGCGGCAGTTTCTCAGTGGGGAGTCCACGCAGGCAACAGGAGACAGCCGTCCAGGCTGCCCATGTCATCAAGCGCAGCAGAGGATGCTCAACGCGCTTACGGCCACCCTTTTCAACAACTCAGATGCACAAATTAGCTGGAATCTAGATGCGCTCGCTGTGAACAGGACATACTGCGAGCTCGAAGAGCCACGTAAGACAAAGCTCCAACAGCGGCAGAAGCCAGGACCGTCACGGTTGAAACTGGACGGCACAACGAAGTCACCACCGCAGAAACCCGAAGATATGCGGCGCTCGACACTAGTCCGCGTCTTCGGGAAGGTGCTGAGGTGCTACATCTGCGTGGCCAAAGCCGGAGGCCCTCGGGGCGGATGATCCCTATTACGCCGACTATTGCAAGGGACAGCAATCCGCACACACTTGTCCGCCATTTCATTCCTGCTCATCTGGATGCGTATGAATAGAGTGAAGTGTTCCAGTGCCCCATTTGCCAGGTGACACTGGTCAACAAGAAGCACCTTCAGAACCATACTCAGATCATGCACGGCATCAACACGAATATCAAGTTTCAGCACCTAGCGAAGAGGAGAAGGTATCATTAGGTTCAGGAAACGAAGTGTGTGCAGTTCCAGGAAAGAGTGTGTGCATTATTCTAAAAGTAGCAGGGAATCAATCTCCAAATAACACCCAATCTCTGTTTGGACTGTTTAATGACAATCGTGATAATCCGTATGGTAGATAGTAGGTTTCGTTTTCAATCCGATCACAGTACCATTTTTTTTTAAAGAAAAGAGCTGCAGTATGTCCCTTCATACAGTCGTAAACACTCAAATACCCTGGCTCTAATAGTGGATCATGTTTTACTCTGTCCGCCGACTTGGACCGCCCATTTCGACACTACGAAGCTCACCCGGCTAGACAGGTCCTCCATAAAGCACGGCACCATTTGATATTGCAGCCCAACTTCGTCCAAAAAGGTGCAAAACATGTCATGAAAGTGGATCCAATCTTCCTTATGCTCTGGCATGAGCCTGACGCCATCATCTACCAACCAGTTGCCAGGCTCGCACACAACAACAACAGAATTCGCCATTCTGCCATGCAGCTCGGCCCATTCGGCGGACTCACGTAATGATCTTGCGGCATCGAGTCCAACATATCTCGTTGCGTAAATGATAGGGTCGACGCCGGACCTATCAGACACGAACCACCTTTTCTCCCGTAGAGCCGATCGTTCGGAGACCACCTGGGCCGCCAGTATTAACTTCTGGAAAGCGAGACTTTGATCGGGGGAAGATCGGATATCGTCTGTGGCGAAGGCGTGCCTCTTGAGCTCTTTCCGGGCGACTTCTGAGATGATGTGCGGCGCGTTGTGCTCGAAATCCGGATCATCATTGAAGTGCCGTTGAAGAGCATTGACTAGCGTAGTTTTGCCTGTGCACTGGGCTCCTATAACATAGATATTCGGGATGGGGGTGGCTGCCATCGTGAAGATTGGATCCGGGAATGCATTGGTAACTGATGTGAGGCCGGCTGGACTCCTCTACTTCACGACTTCACCACCCTTTAAACTACTGACTAATTGGATGGGCGGAATATCCGCCGGAGGCAGCTGCATTTGTGTGCTGATCCGAACGAATAGGACCCGATCGACCGCCTATCGCACGTGTGGTAATACAGGGCATTTGATAGAGATCCTCATCAAGAGGCTGGCTATACCCCGCTCTTTACATATCCAGCACCCATGCCGATGCCAAGACCTCCATACCGATGCCAAGGTGTCTCCGCATCGATTTGGAATTTTTATTCTTGGCACTCCTCGCCATAGTGTCAAAGGCCGCGAGTGCTATCCCCGTCTGGAGGGACACTTCCGGCTTCCAACCCCATATCAGTATTCTTTCCACTCGCCCTGTCCGGTTTCATTCACGCAGATCTATTCTGCCATCGCCGCAATGCCAACAAACGGGCAGGCCTTGATATCCTTCACGTTTGTCTTGCAGGATTCTATACGCATGGACGACCGGGAATGGCGATTCACCGTCCCAAATCTGCCGAATCCCCAAGTGCTGGAAAGCCAGCGACTCGTCAAGGCAATATCACTAATCACAGACGGCTTGAAGCAGAGAATACTACTCAAGCTGGAGCCCGTTAGACTTAATCGGGCCATCAGCGGAGAACCTTTGTGCAAGTTCCTCTTGGTCTCTTTAGCCCAGTTCAAGCCACCAAGTCGGCAGGCCTCCTTCGAAAACAGTGAAAAGTCTCTCCAGCCTGCGAGCCCTAAAGAATGCAGCGAATACTCCACCCGCCTCCTCCGAGCTGGCATCTGGATCCAAGGAATACACTACAACTTCTATGGCCATAGCAACAGTCAGTTGAAGTCCCGAACATGCTTCCTTTTCGCTGCTCGGAAGGAGGAGATTACTAGAAAGGTTGAGGCGCTGGGAGAATTTACCAAAATGAAAACGGTTGCCAAGAAGGCCAAGCGCATTGGCCTTCTCTTCTCCGTTGCCCAGATGGCCAATATCGTGAAGCCGGATAGATGTGAAGACATTCCAGATGTCGAGACCGCCGACTACATCTTCACTGACGGCTGCGGCCTGATCTCACCGCGCCTTGCCCATGAGCTCGCCGCCAAGGTGAGAGTCGTGTTTAGGGATAAACGCTATACGCCTTCGGTCCTTCAGATCAGATACCGAGGTTACAAAGGCGTTGTCACGGTGGATCCCAGAATGACCGATGGGCGTGTGCTGCTGAAATTGAGAAAATCTATGAAAAAGTTCGCCGGCGGTGATGATTGTTCATTCTCAGTGGTGGAATACTCCAAAGTAAGAAACGTTTTGTATGCTCCTGAACAGATGTATCGAGTCTGAGTAATTACTAACATCTTTGTGATGGTTTTAGCCGTATACTTATGGCTTTCTGAACGACGAAGTGATCCTGCTGCTTTCCGCACTGGGCATAGATCGAAAAGTCTTGTTAAGGAAGCAACAAGAGCATTTCTGTTTTCTCAAGGAGGCAACCCAGACCCCACGAGCCGCCTTCCGGTTTTTGTGCTCCATCAACATGCCCGATATTGCTGAGAGACTCATCATGGATTCACTCGATTCAGTCCGGAATAAGATACGAACCCAGGTCAATACCGAATATGACAAAATGCTCAACAAGAGAGAAGAGCAAAAGTGTCGGATTCTCATCCCAAATTCAAGGCTACTCTTCGGAGTCTGCGATGCATGGGATGTCTTGAAGGAGGGGGAATGCGCTGTCAAAGTCACCATGGATGGGGACGGTATGCCGCGTGCTCTGGAGAACACGGAGGTGCTTGTGACGCGAAATCCATGCTTGCACCCTGGAGACCTACAGAAGTTCAGGGTTGTTGCGAAGCCCGAGCTGGCACACCTCGTGGACTGTATCGTTTTCTCCACACGCGGAAAACGACCGGCCGCAGACCTGATGTCAGGTGGTGATTTGGATGGCGATACCTGTAAGCCTGCTTCGAGCCACATCATATCGCCGGAATCTAACCATACCATCTGTGCGTAGTCTTCGTCTGTTGGGACAGAGACCTCATACCAAGCACGCTATCGCAATCAGCGCAGTACCCAGGCGTTCGTGAACCCGTTATGTTCAGGCCGATTTCTGACGATGATCGCCTGGTGTATTTTGCAAGATACACAAACGCCTCTCTGGGACGGGTCAAGAATCTGTACCTTGACTGGGCGAGAGTGTCTGGCCCGATGAGTGCGGAATGTCAGCAGTTGAATCGCCTATTCTCCCAATGCGTCGACGGTAACCGCATCAAAATCCCACCCCAGCTGGAAATCGTCCCCAGGCCCCAGCCTGGCGATACCCCTCCTTTCATTCTTGATGAGCTACACGATGCCGCTAAGTTATTGATAAATGACCAATCCTCCGAATCGAAAATCTGGGATGGTTATGATTTCAGTGCACTAGAGCTTCTTCTAGCTCGCGACAACATTGCAATGTCGGAATTCGAAGCAATGAGACTGGCGTTGAAGTGGTGCAACAGACACAATACTCCCATCGATGACTTCCTTCATCTATTTGACTTTAACGTCATGTCCGCCGAGGAGAAGGCTTGGATCCTCGCCCAACTACCACCATCGAGCCACACACCGAGTCTGGTGCTGAATGCTCTGTGCTCATCGGATCTGCTCCAAGAGGACGAGTTGCGTCAATTCAACCTGCAACATCCCGGGATAAGATGGCAGCGCCTGTACAGCTCTTCATGGGAGAGACAAGCGTTGTTCCTTAATCGTGCGGCCAGGGCCTTGCATCTGTTTCACCGGAAACTTATTGTCTTCCGCGCGGATGATCGTCTTACACTCGCCATTTACGTACCACAAAAGGTGGAGCCGTCGCAGGAATGTGTCGTCGACGACCGTGTCCGAGTTTTTGCGTTTCCGCATTCCCAGGGGCCAGAAACCCAGAGTCGGCTTGTGCTGCCAACAAAGAAGAATTACCGCCTCTACTGCGACGAGAATAGCCTCCAGCTGTTTGAGAACCGGCGTGCGAATACGTGGATCTTTATAAATCGCGGAGCTTCTGATGACAGCCTATATCGAAGCACCGAAGACCGAGGAGATAGAAGGCGGCAGAAACACTCCACAATAGAGAGTGGGCTGAATGTTGACAACAGGGCGAGTATCGCGCTTGACAAATTCAGCAAGGGCCTCCAGAGACATGTTGGCAGAGTGAACAGAAATGGCATTTCTGCTTCGGTGAGATAGCTATTGCATGAAAACTTTGTCGTTCTTCAGAGCGGAAGCTGACGAGACGCTAGGAAATCTACATAATCTCCAATCGAGATGTTAGGTCGATGCAGAACCTAGACCTCTGGGTGGAATATATCGAAACTGCCGAGAAGTTGCCCTTGTTCGACCAACATGCCAAGGAATACGCCATCCCGGCAATGAGTACCGGAGACTGGTCCCAAGAGCCCAAATACATTGCTCAGATTGTGGAGCATAATGACCTTTCTGGCCTTGCTGAACTTGGAGAAATCCACAGATTTGAGGCATTGTTCTCATGGCTTCATGAGCGTGATCAAAAGTCGTTGCTCCTTCGGTGCTATGATCACCTTCTCGCAAAATTGGCAGACGATGTACCCCAGCGAGAAGGTTCAGGCACCATTTTCCAGAAAATGGTGGGCTTTCTTGCACGTGCCCCCTACTTATCGATTGCCTTTGGCAGACTGGTGCAGGGGAGAGTGTACAAGGAGGCAATAGCCGCCTTGCTCGAACGATCCGCATTCGACATACTCCGCGCGTTCATTCTGTCCGCGAATCAAGCCGAGGAGTTTGTTGCGACGCCACTACGATCTTTCCTTTCGACTGTTAAGCTTATGAGTCTCTCTGAGTTTGCAGATCTCGTACAGCTTATCTCGCTGACGGTAAGATCTCCAGAGGTGGCGTTGGATGTCCTCCTCGGATGTCTTGAGCCTGAAGCTACACGGATCCTTCCTGGAGAGCCGCCGTTGGTCCAGCATTTTGTGCGCAATCTAATAGCAAACGCCCTGGACCATATCGGAGAGGCTGCGGAGCAGTGCCAAACAAGGGACGATCTGCTTGAGATCAGACTCCTTGACGAACAGGAAGACGGCTACGCGATGGTAGAAATACCGTTCAGGATTGATGCCGCAGGTGGCACGCCGGAAACATCAGCCCACGTTCGTCTGACTGCGGCAAGTCTTCCGACGAACGTGGTGGTGGGCAGGCCATACTCGATCGACGCCCTCGTCATACACTCTCAACAAGGGCTGGCCAAGCTTGTATGCTATCATCCGCCCCCTCCTTTTGTTCGAGATTGCTCGTGGAAGATGCAGAACTGCGGCCCTTTTGTCACCACGAAGACGACTTTCGACGCCATCCGCACATTTGCCGTTGAGTTTGAAGCCTGCTGCGGGATTGCACAGCAAATCCTCGGACTGCCTCCTGTGATACTGGACCCGGCATTGAATATTGCACCACCTGAATATTTACCCAAGGCACACTTGAACAAAAGCCAGAACGCAGCCGTAAAAACGGCTTTGAAGTCATCTTTGACCTGTCTTTGGGGACCACCAGGGACAGGCAAGACGGAAACAATCGTGGAGATGATCAGAGCCCTGCAGGTCCACTTCGAGGGGAGTAGAATCTTAGTCACAGCCCCAACCCACAATGCGGTGGACAATGTTATGCGCAGATACATCACGAAGACCGGCAGTAAGGATCGAGAGAAGAGATTTCCGCTGCGTGTCTCCACAGATGTGAGTATAGCTAGCTGCCTTACGAAACACGTCTATACTTATATTTTCTTCAGATTCGCAGAGTGGCCCACGACCTCAGGGAATTCACTTGTGATGCTATTGCAGGCCAGGAAATCTATGCGAGCCCTGCTGCCGTCCGACAGGCAAAGAAGAAGATCAAGAGCTGCCAAATAGCCTTTACAACATGTATCGGAGCAGGTCTTGGCCTTCTGCGAGCCCAAGAATTCGACATTGTCATCATCGATGAAGCTTCGCAGCAAACAGAGCCCGCGTCTCTGGTGCCCTTGGTCAAAGGCTGCTCGAGGGCCATTCTTGTCGGAGATCATGTCCAACTTCGACCAACAGTACAGCAAATTGCGCTGACAGTGGACTTTGATGTTTCGCTCTTCGAGCGACTATACACGTCCGATGTTACCGGAATTGGGCAGGCTGGAGAGTCACAGATGTCGGAGAACAGCGTTAGCTTCATATCTAGGCTTATGCTGGACACGCAGTATCGCATGCACAAGGCCATCTGCGACTTTAGCTCGGATGAGTTTTATGACGGCAAGCTCCGCACCGGCATCACTCCAGAGTCGAGGCCACTGTTTGACTCTGCCTTTCCATGGCCGAAGTCCGACTCAGCATCCCATCTTAGGAATACCGAGAGAGCACGAACGGTATTTATCGAGTGTGCGGCACGTGAGGACTTCAAAGGAAAGTCAAAGAGCAATCAGGGCCAGGCGAATCTCTGTGTTGAGGTCTGCAGGTTGCTCTGTACTGTAGCGGCAGCAGGCCCACATGGTGTCGGGGAGCAGAAGACGCAGCCCGAGGCGGGAAAGCTGTCCATCGGCGTGCTGACCCCGTACGCGAAGCAAGTGGAGCTCTTGAAGCGTCTGCTTTCCGGACTATCTCACCAGGTTGAAGTCTCAAGCATCGACGGGTTCCAGGGCCGCGAGGCCGACATCATCATTCTCGTCACAGTCCGATGCAACGAACACCACGAGATCGGGTTTCTGAGAGACCTGCGCCGCCTCAACGTCGCGCTGACACGGGCGAGGTCGGGGTTGGTCGTCATCGGGAACCGCGCCACCTTGACGACGGAAGGGGATACGTCGGATCCAGAGAGCAGCGCCACGTGGAAGAGGCTGCTTGAGGTATTCCGCCCTGTCATTATCGAGGCGTCGAGGAACATCACCGTTTAGTTCAAAGAAATGTACTTGCCTTAGGGGCTGCGGATAAGCAGACGGTCATGGAACACCGAGTATATCAAAGATTTGGGGCATCCTAATCCCAGGGATAGCTCAATGACATTGATATGGGATATGACTAACCATTCTCCAGTTCCAGGACTTGTACTCAGCTTCCTGAAGGGATTCATAAACCTTGATCAGATGCAAACTTGTCACGATATAAGCACGTACGGGTGGCCACAGGTACAGGAATGGCGTTACATTTTATATGACAAACTTACAATCTTTTAGCCGTATGCCATTCTTATATTGTGGTACAAATTAACCGGAATTCCGTGCTACGTGTATCATTCATTAATTTCACCTGCATGAAAGGACCTGAGATGTCTTTCCCACGCGGCTTCATATCTGAATGCCCAGGGGCACCCGCTTCTGCATGGATAGACAAGCTCCTTGGCATGCCTGTTCCTGAGGTGCCGAGCCACCAATGAATGTCTTGTAAAACAATATTCAGGAAGATTTTTCTAGCACGTACTTAAGGGGCACCGACAGTAATCGCTTGTGTGGTTATCAGGATGGTGCAACCGCCTGCGCCTGCGCCTGCGCCGTGCTGGCCGACTTGTCGAGCTTGCCTGGTCCGACCTACCCTCACACTCTGAGTCGGAGGAGATAACAACTTTCTCCACAATATCAGGACTACCAAGCAGCCCCCTGGGCTTGTTCTTTTTGAATCTGGGTTGCCTCCTACTGTTATTGGCTGACTGCCCCTCCTGCCAATCTCCAGCTTTGTTTCCTTGCCTTGAGCCCGCTCCTCAGAAGGCGTAGCCGGCACCATTGGCGGTTGCACATATAACTTGCGGCTGCTTAGCTCTCTGAGCCGCTCAGTTGCCCGTTCTTCCGTCTCTTTATCCCAATTCTTGTGCTTTTTCTGAGTCATCTCGAACAGCACATGTGCGTCGTTGCACTCTTGAATCCAGCCGTCGTCTATGGTCCAATATCTTGATGTTTCTCACCGAAAGAAGGTTTGAGATATTTATCCGCAGGATGATAGTTATCTGGGTTTGAGTGAGACTGTGGGAAACAGACAATGTGTTTGATGGGGCGGAACTGGGCATTGAAAATGGGTCCCAGGAGCCATTGTTCCATCCATTCATCAAGTTCCTTTGATCACAATGGTGAGAATCTGATTGTTCCAGCACAATGACTGATTATTACTGCTTTGGCCAAAACAAAGGATATGAGACATACCTAGGTAGAGCTGCAATCGTTGTCATGCGAAGGCAAAGAAAGGTTTCTTGCCCTGTCTGTGTGATACTGGCCTACTGAATCAATCCAGTTCCAAGGTTACCACCTGTAGCTCAATCTCTAAGGTTAACATGTAATGTGTCAACTATATGCATCCTTACCTCGACAAAGACTTGCCAAAAATGCAAGAATGTGTGAGAAATATAGGAGTGAGACCCCCCCTGCAAGTCTTAGTCACCGCTTTCCCAGGGTTGCCATGAGTTTGCCGCTGACAGCTGAGATTCGGGACCCCTGGCATCAATGACGGATTAACCTTCATGAGTAACTCGACCGACGTGTATGGCATTTTGAAATCAAATGCGTTTTGATTTTAGGGGTTGGGTCTACTCCGCATTTCCTGGCTGCCCCCCTGAAAAGATAATGGTTAAAGCAAAAGTGTACAGAATTTAATTTATGGGATGATTTATAATGTATAAGAAAATTGGAAAACTGAAATACATAATAAACGATCAGTCTGGGATAAAGATTCCTCTTATACCTGTTTATTTCTTAGGCTATTTCGCAAATAAGTCTTTGAAAGTGAAACGGTTAACAAGTATATTTACCACTCAACCCTTGATGTAAAATCACGACAATTTCATTGGAAGACAAGCTGCCCTCTATTTATATTTCAAACTTCAATATCGGAAACATGCATATTATTCTTTTTGGTGCAGGTCTCCTTACACTTGAGGGTTTCGCCCTGCCTCTACACTCCTTGTCTATTGAAAAGGGTAATCTTACTAAATCTGCTTTTAAGACTGATTACTAATGCAAAGCGTTGATTTGTAGGAAGTTTGGAGAGTCGCCAAATCCTAATGCTTGGGGGTAAGCTGATCCAGGTTTATATTTTCCTACTATAATTTTCAGTTGGGTTGAAGGATCAGTTGGAAGTGTCCCAAGGCTCCGTGTCAGTCAACGCAACGGACCACTCGAATTCGCGCCGAAGCCCAATCCCTTCCAGTTCCATCGTCCAACCTGCTGCCAACGTCATTTTCCACATCTACCTGCCTCAACCGAAACTCGGGGGCACTTGATCTACCATAAAAAAAGAATTGCTGCGTCGCTTAATGCGGCTCGCCTATTGTGTAGGCATGGTTACCCAAGGCTGGATTGGCTAAATCCCACTGTTGACAGACCAACATGCATTTCGGGCCACCATCTGCCAATCTCGCTGTTCTACTAATCGACGCAAGGTGCCGAGCACACAATCTCCGTTCTCCGCAGGACAAGGGCACTCCGGCACGATAGGTCCACATATAACTAAATCTGACTCTCTGTCTGGCATGTGTCCAAATAATCATAAGCTTTCGGACAACGGAGGCTTTCTCGCAAAGTCTTAAAGGTCTCAGCATTCGCAGGACACAACTATCATACCGCATTATGGTTGCCCCGAGCCCAAGCTGCGAGCTTTCAAACACCAAGATGCAGATATACAGTGGGGCAGGAGACTGGATGATGACCGAACGCGGGGAAGATTGATGGCTATGCGTTTGAAGTGAAAATTGAATCTCAACTCAATGCTTTAAAAGTCGCTAGTCAGTCCCAACCTTTCAAACTCTTTCGTAGATCTTAATCGTGTGTATGGTTCAAGTTTTTCCACCCTCACGACACGCGGTACTACTGGGGAGTGTACCTTGGGGTTTCCACACCCCTGGAAAAAATCTTTTACTACACGGACCCCTTCTTTGCAGAATGTTGGGCCTATGGACGCATTGAAGAAGCCTCCGAGAAGACAGGAATAAAGGACCACTTGACGGTCAAATGCCATGGATATCTCTATCTTCAAGAAGGAAATAAGAAGAAACTGCAAGAAATGGGTCTTGACCCTGGGATGGATGTTCTCCATAAAAAGCTAAGGCTGGTACTGGAGGGGGAAGGTCGCGTCCGAGCAATCGTAAAAGATCTTGCGGTTTCGAAGGCGTCCGTCAGCTCCAGCTGTGTCCGGGCGAGCCTAAGGAGGGGCAAGATGCTAAACGAGCTGCAAATATATAACATGGATATCCGAGCAGAGAATTTCGTCGGGGGAAGACTTGTGGATTTTGGATCGTCATTGACGGAGCCACATATATACTCGATGCCCTGGACCCTGATGATGCCGAGGGCTTGAGGCTGGCCGACCTCGTCAAGTTTGATGACATGATCGAGGAAGAAATCAAACCAAATCAAGGCTGCGAGCGTTACCAAATATGGAGTACCGGAAGAAGTTACGAGTTACTTAGGCAGGAGCGGGACGGCATGGTCGTGGCGGAGAGTATAGTGGTGATGAGGCGGGTGATGCTGTCTTCTTTGCGAGGGGGAGGGGGGTATTGGGGGGAGGATCAGGAGGAGGATGAGGGTGAGGCTTGATTGTTCTGAATGTTTGGGGCGGAAGAGAGGGAGTAGGAGTGGGAGGAGGTTGGCTAGGTCTTGTTCTTATTCACCTCTTTCCAAAATCACTGACCATCATCAACGGCCATCTTTGTCTCCAAAGTTCAACTTCCGGTAACATGCCACCATCCATAGGCGCGAAATCGTGATGCTGTCAACGGGACCTCAGCACACAAAATTACCCGGTCAGTCTCCGGGCTTCGGGAAGGGGAGAAGGGGGGATGGGGGAATGTCAGACATCTTAAAAAGACGCCACCTCGTCCTGGTGGCGGTCTGAAAGCACACGAGTAAGAGATGGTTGAATTCCTACTCATGACTGATCGTCAACGCACGCTGTAGCTACCAGAACGAACAACAACGCTATCGACAAGTAGCTAGCCATCGCCGAGTCCGACCCCCGACCATACACATAAACAAAATGCTGCAAGCTCGCCCACGGTTTTTTGTATCCAAAACTCAACACATCCAAATATGTGAGGTCATCAAACCAAGCACCGACAAGTTCCCAATTCATACGTCTCACGCCATGTGTTTGTTCATCAATCAATCAATCAATCAACCCAGAAGACAGGGCGAAAACAAAATGCCCATCCAATCAAATGTAGAACATCGTGTCCCGCAGCTTCTCATGGATCTCGACCGTCGCACGCGCGGCGACGGCCTCGCTGCCCGCGATGCTGGTCGTGTCGTTCGCGCTGCCCTCGAACAGGGCCGCGTTGTACCGCTGCGCGCGCTCGCATAGAATGTCGGCGTTGTACGCGGGGGTGTAGATGCTGACGGCCTTGGTGGCGCGTGGGTATATATAGCATAGGGCCTGTATAATACCCTCGAGCTTGTTGGCCGCCAACTAGTTTGGCCGCGCCAACCCTGCCCCGCGGGCCCGGGCCCGGAAGATCTCGTCTTGCAGCATAATATAGTGCGCGGGGCGGCTAGTACCCTGGATAATAGCATACAATTATATAAAGAAGTTCTAGATGCTCTTTTTGGTAATGTTGCAATTAATAATAGTGCCAGGCTTATAGTTTTCGCGGCGGTTTATATCCTTGGCCTGGCTGGGGTAAAAGCGCGTATAGTATTACTTGCTGATGATAATGAATGTTATTTGGGGAAGATTCTTGTTGATTAGGTTTGCAGGGTATTTCTTGGCGCACGCTTAATGGAAGAGAGGGATCTTGTTTTTAATGTAGGTCTGGTACTGGCCCTTTGACATACCGTTCCTGTAAACTAGGATATTCTCTGGAAGATGCGCGTTCCTTTTGATCCTAATCTAGTTTTTAAGATAGCGCTTTACCATGTGAACCAACTCGGCTATTATCTTCTGTTGGCCTGCCTGGACGCTTAGGATGCCAGGCATTTGGGCAAGTTTATTGTTAATAGTTGCCATAATGCCGGCGATAGAGGGTGTTTGGGATGACGAGCTAGGGGATGGATGGGTTATGTTCATACCAACCACTATAATCTTGCCCTTAGGGAGGAAGGATAAATTTTGGAGATTAATTGTTTAGTTGTTGCCCCCAAGCTTGAGGTTGAATTTAAGGGCAATATTTATAAAATATTAGTCTTCACCTTTTTAACTAGTAAACTTGGCTCCAATAATATAAATAGTATAAATGCTATACTTGGTGTTGCCAAGCATTTTAATATAGCTATAGAGGTTGGTGTTGTCGCTTTTATCCTTTTTAGGGAGCATAATGAGGAAAAGGTTGAGTTTATTTGTGGACGCGCTTTTAAACACCTTATCCAACTTGGGGTTTATGAGTAAAGTCAACTTAATTGACCAACCATAAAGGGCTTTGGTCTAAATAGTTACCCCATTCTTTTTTAGCAAGGCAGTAAACCTGCTAATAGTAGTAGGGAGGACTTTGTTCGCGTAGAATAGTCGCCTATTATCTTTAATTGCAAGCCAGGACCACCTTTTAAGATTTCCCGGCTTGTTAAATTAAACGCTTTCCATGTTTTAGCTACTAAAAGCCATGTTAACTGCCTTATTATTTTTATAAAACACCTTAAATTTTCTAAGTACTCGAGCTAGCATAGTAATTAGACTCTAGCTAATGTTAATGCCAAAATTTGCCTGTTGATGTGAGGTTAGCAGTGACGTGCAGAGTTTATCGGAACTAGAAGAATGGATAATAGGAATTCAACGCTTACCAGGAGATGGTTGGACTCAATAAATAGGCCGCCAGTAAGAAGCCCATGGTTAATGATTAACTTGGCGTTCTGCCAAGGTCCGCGCATAGCAAACCCAATCATGGCCCTCATCTAGTCGCCAATAAGCTTTAATATAGCGCTTTGTTCAGGTAATATGATGCAAACCTCTGCCAGGAGGTAAAATAGATTCTTATTGGTGCCAACATTAATAATGGGGTAATTGTCGGCACATATAATATTGTACGTGTTTTTGAAATGGTTATATATGTTGATGTAACGGCTTGTGCCAGTAGAGGCAAAGGCAGGTAGTGGACTTGCTGTTGTAGGCGCGCCTGGGTTGCCCTTGCCGCCCTTGCCCTTGCCCTTTCCCTTCTTCTTGGATGCAGCCGGAGATGAATCGGATCCTGGAACGGTAGAAGTGGGAGGCGCTACTATGAACTTATCTTCAAACCAAAACTCGACATTCTTGGGTTCGGCACCAAACTTTTTAATCCTAGGCCGATTAGGCCTCTAACCGTTAAATTTCTTGGCCAGGCCGAAGATTATCTTTAGATGGTAAATAGGCTCACCCTTCTTATTTATTTTAACCTTCAAGTATATCATTTAAACATAAACACGCTTAAGGAACTTTTTAAGGGAATGCAAGGCGGGAATGTTGTAATAAAGACTGTACGCAAACATTAACTGCGTCAATTGGCCCTCATTATAGAAGGCACCATGGCTTACGTTGACATTAACAAGAATCCGGTTAATAGCGGCGTGGATATTTGTAAAGAAGCCACGAAAAGTAGTAAGGCCTTGGCTAAGGTCGGCCCTGTTGGTACTACCGCTTGTTGAGAATGTCTTGCTTGACCCAATAGTAGCCAAATTATTGTTCGACTTTGCATAGTATTTTAGGAAAATGTTTAGAGCCTGAATGATCTCCAACTTGCTGTTGTACTGGATAGCCGGGTTGGTTGAGGTAAGGTAGGATACGAGATCTCCAATAGTTATGGTCTTTGTATGCTTGACCGAGATGGTATAGGTGATGGTATGGTCCTTGGCATCATCCTCTCCTTTAGCCTTGTACGTGATTTTGATTTCTTTTATACCGGTTATTTTGAGGTCCAGCTTCTTCTAGGAGATGATGGTGGACTTGAAGTTGGTGACCATGTCTCCTTGGTATATCTGTAGCTTTGGTGACTTGTTGACCAAAAGGCGGATGGTTTGCATGCGCTTCTTGCCAACTATATTAGGCTTGACCTTGGAGACGTTGTATGAGTATAGTGTGAGGTTGGATGGGGGCATTATTGGGACATAGTTGGCGAAGATGGTGATGGGTTGGCCGGCGGTGCTATAACCAGGTTGCGCTGGCATTACGCTGGAGCCGGCGAGGCTTAGCGAACTTATTGCATGTTGCGGGGCGCTGCGGGCCTTTTGGCGAGCATCTTCGACGTCCTGGACTTGGGGATTAGGCACCGGGACTCCGCTGCGCGGAGTGTAAACCCTGGGGGGTTCCTTTCCGCCGCGGCCGCCACCTCCACGATAGCCACCACGGTCGCCTCCTCCGCGATCAGGCGGGAAGACACCGCCTCGGCTGGGGCCACCACCACGGGGAGCCCTATCACCGCGTCCTCGTCCTCTTCCACGGCCTCTATCAGCCATGGCCGTGACTGCAAGTGTCCAAGGATGATATGCTTGATAGTGATATTGTGGTGGGTCACAAGGCAGTGCGAGTCAACCTGGGGGGGAGTGGTGTTTGAGATGTTGTACCGCCGGTGAGCGATTCAGGAAAGCAATATTGCAGCAAGGGATATCGATGCAGCAAACAATTATCGGAGAACCATGTATGCAAAAAAGTATCTATCTCTATGTTAGTATGGGATGCGGTGGTATGGAATGTAGTGTGGCATGGCCAAGAACGATGTTCTGGGTGACGAGAGCCGAAGTGAGGGGGGGACGGGTTGTTCAACCAACCTGTCACACCGACAGCACCGGAAAAAAACAGAGCAAGCGAGCTCGAACAGCTGCAGGTCCCGCCGGACAGTGGCTGGTTGAATGAGGGCTGGAATGAGGATGAATATGACAGACGAGTGGAGAGGAGAAGAATCTGGAGAGATCAGGAGAGGCCGCCGAGCTCCTTGAGAGGGGAAGGCCTGGAAGAAGAGTGGGCGCGAGCTGAATGATATGGGATGGACGGATATGCGACCTAAGCTCAAGGGAGGGGGAAGGGGCATTCACCGAGCTTGAGCTTGGCCCATGCAGGGGGCATACCACAGCAGCCTACCCACACCCTGATGACATCCCTCTCCTTCTCAACGCCCCCGCTCCAAGCCAAAGTCAAAGTACAACCTTCCTCTCCTTTCACTCTTGATCATTACCTATGTGCCATTAAATAGCAATCCCAGCTACGAGGCTCTCTCGTATACATCGGGAAATGACGAGAAAACTCTCGCAATCACGATTGGCAATTCAGAGCTGAGCATTACCGTACAGCTAATTTGCACGAGGCTCTCCGCCATCTCAGGTACAAGACGGTCGATCGGCTCATCTGGGCCGATGCGATAACGTGTGAGGGATTCATATCAGTGAGTGATTCAGTCTTTTAACATTTCCTTTATTTAACTAATTTAACATTAATAATATTTAATATATCCAATAATGTATACATCATTTTAAAGCCAATTTAAGTCTTAGAATTTTTATGCATCAATAATATTATGCTTTATAATATGTTATATAAAGAATTTAGATCAAAATTATAGATTTAATGTGTAGCTATATGTAATAACCAAGGCTTCTTGGGTCCTCTAAACCTGCTGATCGGGGTTTGTGTCCAAGATACGTTGTTAGGCGGTTGTTGAGCAATATTGTTGACTGACAATGATCACTAGCTGGTGAGAGCTATTCGAGGTGAATACTTAGACTGACTGCTGAAGAGCCTATACTACGAATACTATTTACTGTGGTGATGGCCATTCCTTATATGTTCCGGCTCTTCAGTTGCCTCGATGGAAGCGATGGTGATTCCGTCGACCTGGTGTTGTTCGATAGAATCGATGTCGAGTCCATCGATTCATCTCCCCAGGGTGGGTCCATGACCCTAACCCTGGTTTTGGCGTGTTCCGCTGACTGCGCACCAAGCCCAAGAGGCGGGGACTGCGGGATAATCGACCTGCAAAAAGGATGTAGAGTAAGATGTGGCCCTCCGAGACCCACTTTATTGCACCCTTACCTCTGCTACCGAGCCGCCAAGCGGGTTTCACTCCTCGTATATTGTAATATGGTGGACCCCTATTCCGACCACCCTCTGATCCCGACCACATTTTAAATTGGAATTTTAAGCTAAAATTAAGCCTAAAAGCCCTAACCCTAGACTCATTCTATAGCTTTTTAAAAAAAGATTTATATATAAATATTTTTAAAATTATAATTATTTATATATATTTTAAAAATAATTTGTATTAAAAACTATTTAATATTTTATATTAAATTTAAATAAAATTTTAAAATAATTTTAATTAAAAAATTTAATATTATATATTTATTATATTAATCTTAATATATTTAAAAAAAGTTTTTATTAATAATATTTTTAAAATAAATTTTAAATATAAACTTGTTAAAATTTTAAAATTTCTTAAAATTCTTTATATAAATCTTAACACTGCTTTATTTCTAAATATTTTTTTAAAATAATTAATTATAATTTTTCTTTTTTTAGAAAAACATTATATAAATTTTATTTTATATAATTATTAAGAATATAAGTTTAAAAATAGTTTATTATATAATATAAATAAAACATTTAAGTTTTCTATATAAATTTTTTATAGAAAAAATATAAAAGTATTAATATTAACGTCCATCCCTATATAGCGGAAAACCCTCCATGCCAAAAAAAATAATAAATACTTTAACTTTAAACCAGTTAAAAACTCCACATATATTAATATATTTTAAACTTTTACGTAAATTATATTCTCTAGCTATTATTAGGCATTCTAAGCCCCTCCTACTAGAAAATTATTTTAATATTACTATTTTTATACTTAATCTATAAAATATCTTAATTAATAGTAAAAAAAAGTTTTTTTAACAAGCTTCTACTATTAAGCTTATATTATATTAAATACTTATAAAAAGGTTATATTAAAGCTTTAGGATTTTATTATAATATTAAAAGTTTATTTTAAGCCTTATAGCTATTATAATATTTAGGCATTTATAAAACTGCTATATAAATTAGTATTTTAAATTAAAGCAAATAATAATTTTGGTTAATATAAACTAAATTTATTAATAGCTTTCTTTATAGCTAATTTAAAGTGCGACTAGTAGCTTTTGCCGCTAGCTGCTGCCCTAAGCATTAAGATGGGCCCGGCAGTTAGACTGGCGCTTGACTAGTGGCTCGTGCGCGGCTCGCGCCGACTAGCGGGGTCGCTTAGGTTAGCAGCTAAGGCGTCAAAGGGCTAAGGCAGCAAACAGCTCCTATATTAATAGCCGCCATACCTTAACGTGAATACCTACACTAATAGATTTCTACTCTCTTTATTGCCTTGCCGCTTTACTAATTAATTAAAGCTAAGGCATTTAATTGCAGCTCTCCTTTATCTATTAAGTACTATTATTTTTTATTAAGGGATTCCTTTTCCTTATAAATATAATTATTATTCTACTAGTTTTAAACTACTATTTCCCGCTTAATATTCTATTATAAATCCTCTTTTTATTATTACAAATATAGCTAGCATTATATTATTTAATATTTAAATTATAAAATTTTTTATTAACTTTTATTTAGCCTATAAAAGCTAAAAATCCAATATTATTTACACCCTTAAAAGGTTAAAATATCTTTTTATTATATTAAAAACTTTATACAGCTAATTAATAAACTATAAATTTAATACTAATAAATAAAACTTACTTAAAACTATTAAAATTTTATTTAAAAACACTAAAAATTATATTTATAAACTTTAAAGCAAATATAATAAGTTTAATAATACTACTACTAGCATTTAAGCTATTATATATACTAATACCTGCAAGCTAATATACTTTTTTTAGTAAAATATATTATAAAAGCTTAATAAAAATATAAATAATATCCTATTATATTTCTTTCTAGCCTTATAGTTGCTATAATAAAAAAATATTAATAATATTTAAAATAATATTAAAAATATTAAAGTACTACTAAATATTATTAAAGCCAGCTAAATTTTATTTATTATTTATAACTAATTAAAAGCTTTTAATACTATTATTAATTATAATAAAACTTATAAAAAGAAATATATTAGCACTAAGCTATAATTTATTAATAGCCCCGCCTTTAATATTTAGCTTATAAAACCTAACTTCTTTTTATAGCTTAATAGCTTTGCTAAATGCAATAAATTAATCTTATATTTTATAATTATAAAGCACACTTTTTAATACTAGCAATCTAATTTATATATTAATATTATATTTTTCTACTTTATTTTTAATAATAATACTAAATAAAATACTTCTATTATACTTTATATATTAGTTTTATAACTATTAGGCTAGCTTAGTAATAATTATAAGCTTTTTTTATAATTATATAATAACTATTATAATATTATATTACCTAACCTAACCTTTAAAGGCTATTTATAAAAGCTTATATAGGTATTTAATAATATATATATAATTTTAAATACACTAAATAAATACCCTTATAATATATATTAAAAAGATATATTATAAGCCCTAATTAAAATATAAGTATAATTAAAGCCTAGCTTTTACCTCTTAGTTATAAGTTATAAAAAGCCTAATATTTATAATATGCTTTATAATAAGCTTAATATTTAGGGAGATAAGACTATTTCTATAAAAAATAACTCTATTAATAGTAATATTACAACCTTTATATCTAGCTTCTTAAGGAATAATCGACAATTGCGAAAATAAGAAAAATACTATAAGTAAATTTAGGAGGCGCTTACCGATTGTGCAAATAAAGTATATATTCTTTGTCTTTAATTAAAAAAGCTACTAATTTAACTAGGTTTCGCTAAGTTAAATGCTAGTTTACAGCATTATGCAATTATACTAGGAGTAAACGTTAGCTCGATGCGTTACTTGCCTTTCTACCTTAGTCTCTAAATAAAATATATAAGTAAATGCTGCTAAGAATTAGCAAAAAATCTATAGATAATGCAAAATAAATCTTAACTCTGCTTTGCTGCGCTAAGAGGCCGTTAACTATGCCAGAACTTATTAAGGGCATTGTAGTAAAACTTAGGGATAATCCGCGTTTTAATCCTAATAGTAGACTAGATAACGAAAATAATATCTACTGTATTTGCCCTGGCCTTATCGAAGTAAATTAGCAAGCTAGCAGCAAGCCAGCTACCATATATATCGCGCATTTTTCAATCTAGGAATATCTAGAATCTAATCAAATACACTAATATAAAGCCGCAATATTTAGCGTAAAAAAACTAGAAGCTTATATAGAAATCGCCTGCATCTACCTAACATATTTGCTAAAACTTATAATATTAATCCCGGATTATTTAATAGAGCATATATTAGCACTTTATGCTATAAAAAGCTAGCACAAGCATTTCCGCGATAGAGATAAAAACATGCTCCTTGTTTAGCAGCAAGCTATCTAATTATTTTAAAGTCCAGGAAGCGCATTTGAGAATTAGGTTCGAATTTAAAATGTTAACAGCTATGACGGCGAGGAACCTTCTAGAAAGATGCTGTCGCCGCTTTATTATGCTTCACTTTTTGGGCTTAATGCAGTTATAGCCGAGCTACTCTGCAAAAAGCCTTATGGAGGTTGCTTTCGCGGCCAAAATTTGTTAGAAATTTCTAAGCTGGTCAACACGCAAGGCGGATACTATAAGAATGCGCTATAAGCAGCATTAGCAAGAGGCTACGAAGCTATTATCAAGCGGCTTTTCGTAAAAGGCGCTAATATTAACATGCAAGGCGGAAATTACGGGAATGCGCTATAGGCGGCATTAGCGGGAGGCCATAAAGCTATTATTGAGCAGCTCCTTATAAAAGGCGCCAACATTAACATGCAAGGTGAATATTATAAGAATGCGCTGCAGGTGGCATTAGCAAAAGGCTACAAAGCTATTGTTAAGCGGCTT